AACCGAAAGCATGCTGAGACTCGTTGCTAGAGTATCAGGACGCAGAAAGGGACTAAGTGAAGCCAACCTACTTCGGATCCATCATGCCTTCCTAATGAGCCACATTAATTATGTAGCATCGGCGCTTACCTGGACTAGAACGGAAAAAATAAGCTAGACACTCTCATCCGTAAGAGCATCAAAAAGGTGCTAGGGTTACCAGTAACCACATGCTCTGACAAATTAAGACAACTCGGTATGCACAACGAGATTGATGAAGTGATCGAAGCGCAGGTCACCGCCCAGGTGGTCAGGCTCTCGTCAACCAGGGCAGGAAGACGCATCCTGGACGAGGCTGGCATGGCTCCCAGAATGCTTGCTGAACGGGAAATTACCTTATCCCGGGAGGTCCAGGAAACCTTTGTGGTCAGCCCATTTCCTCGGAATATGCACCCGCAATACAATGTAGGGAGGCGAAAAGCCCGAGCACGGGCGATATTACAGAACGCCGCCGAGAATCGAGAATCGACTGTCTTTGTCGACACGGCTCAGTACGGCAAGTCTAGCAAATTTGCGCTGGCAGTCATTGACGGCAACGGGGAATTACGCTCCTCAGCCTCAGTCAGGTTAGCTACGAGCGCAGTTGCAGAACAGGTCGCCATAGCCCTGGTCATGACCGACCACTCACACACCACCGTGTTAACAGACTCACGAGCGGCCATCAAAGCTTTTGAGTCGGGTAACATAGCGCGGGAGGCTGCCTCCATTCTAGAAAAAAGAACAGACCCTGGCACTCACTTAATCTCTTGGTTTCCCGCCCATATGGGTGCGGACGTTCATCAGCACGTACCTAACCTCAACGAGCTTGCCCATGACCGTGCGCGAGATCTAACGCGCTGCGGCGGCATGGAGGCCTTATGGGGTCAGGATGAAATCCAGCATAACGATCCACTCCTTACGTTTAATGAAATCACATCTCACTATCGGCTAAGTAGAAGAGCCTATCCTCTTCCTCACCCAAAGTTAGATAGGTCTCAGTCAATTACACTTAAAATGCTCCAGACGAGCTCGTTCTCCTCGCGAGGCCTTCTTAGTCGTATCTCCACAGACGTTGACTCAAGTTGTCCGCAATGTAATGAAACTTATTGTTCCTTAACGCACATGCTTTGGCAATGCCCCGCGTTACCTAATGGCCCTCTATCCAGCGAAGCCGACTGGGAAGAAGCACTCCGGAACCCATCGCTTCAAGCACAAATCAAGGCAATCCAGAGGGCCCAAGAAAGGGCGGAACATCACGGCGTCCCAGCCCCTACTTGGACGCGGCCAGCGGCTTCCGCGGGTCCCCGATAGGGGTTCCCGCGAAAGCTCCTCAGGATCAAATAAAGTTCATTGTCTGTCTGTCTCTCTGTCTGTCTTACGCAATGCGTGGCAACATCCCTTGTTCTTGGTGCAACCACGCGCAGCGGCGAGTCCCCATTTGAGGATTCCGACATCACGGCCAGCGGCGCTTTTGGTTGGACATTTGGTGACTCAAAGGATCCATCCACCCAGTGCCTTAAAAACAGCCTTGCGGCACGTCACCAGCAGTAGACCTATGTGTCAGAGAAGACAGCTCGGCTCTTCGAGTCTCTAAGCTGTCGGCCCTAGTGCTGAATTTGTAACACCTCTATTTCTTTGCTGTACATAAACCTTGCCTTAACTCACCGTTGTCTCGTCTGCTCATCTATCAGCTCTGCGCAGAAGTAGTCGCGAGCTGAGTAACACACGCTACCAAACGGCTGGTGACCGTGTCGGCGGAGTTCGGAGCAGTGGCGCCTTCAAGACCGTGTTGGCGTCTTGCCTTCGTAACAGTGAAGCCTCTCATTGCTTCGAGCCCCTTTCGCAGTCGGTGTGCCCGGTGCCTTTGGCAGTGGCGAGTTTCGTAACGCCCTTCGTAACCTCGTCGGCGGAGTGCTTTGTAATAGTAGCACGCAAAATATTTATGTCATCCTGAATTTGTGTGAACCAAAACAAGATGAAGCTGATCATGAAGATGTACAAGAACTCTATTGCAGTCAACTGCTTCTTGCTGAAAAAGTCCATAATGGTCTTATGAACTTCTCTGCCTTCGACGTCTCTTAAGAAAGCTGCCTGAAAGGAGAAAAAAAAAAAAAATCGCCACAGTTTCCTCTTACTTAAGTTGCCAGCGCTTACGGTGCAGTGCAGGACATCGAGGGCATGTTTGCCGACGTCAATGACAGGAGGTCACATACGTCGGCGTCTTCACCACCACTGTCAGACTCATTCTCCTTTGCATTGTTGACTAATTCTTCGATAGATCGCAGCCCACAGGTCGCGACGTTATCGTCAACTGTGACAAAGTCTCGCGCTGAGGCTTCAGTCTTAAGGTTTCTCAACCCTCGACGTGCAAATCAGCGCCAGGCGCTTCATTATATTATGTTGGAGTCGCATTCAGTCCTCCGAAAAATCTACACTTGCAAAACCAGTTTGAAATCATGTCCTTGGTCACATTGTCCCAGGACATGGCTATAAAATGTAATGCGTCAAGCAGACTAATCTGCAAGTTTTCATTTTTGCACTCAATTTTTGCCAGAAGCCTCTCCACACACGCAACCTTTTAGAATAATGTTTTACATTTTGAATTATTTTTGTGTCCAGCGGCTGTAAACGGCTTGTAGTGTTAAAGACAGGAACCTTGTCGTGGCACTAAATGCAGTCTTTTGAATGAGCTGAACACTGCTAGATAAAAAACAAAATTTTTCTGTTTCTTGCTACGATTTTCTAGAAACCCGCTGGAAAAATCTGCAGTAATCCATGCTTTTTTGTTTCCTTTGTACAAGCAAGGCAAAAAAATGTTTTGCCGATCTGAAGCACTTTGGTTGTTTTGGTTGGCCTATGACAGTAAGCTGAATTTTGTTAGAGCCGTCAGCATTCGTGCAAAAAAGCACAGTGGTCTGTTCCTTACTTTTCTTACCACCTTGACAAGCCTGCCCTTTCACATACAGGTTCCTCTCTAGCTGCAGGTCCGAAAAGAGCTTCGCCTTGTCAGCGTTAAATACGTGACATGGTGCATAGTCTGAAATTACCGCCGGCAGCGTTTTCAGCCAGTCATTCACTTGCAACCTGTCCATTTTGCTTCATCACTGACAACTCTGTAAACTAGTTCATGGCTTTCTTTGAAGTACTGCAGCCATCCGCTTGGAAGCTTAGAAAGTGGTACGTTGGTCGCCTTTTCACGTAGCACCTTGCCGTCCACATTAACACCAGCTGCCCTCACTTCGCGAAACCATGTAAGCACGTCGGTTTCCAGCTTACCGTGTGTAGCTGTTTTTGCCTGCTTGTCGTTCGTGCGAAAGTGGTGGGCAGTTTTTAAGATGACATCTCGCTGCCCAACAATGGTGCAGAGCATTGATGGCACTATGCCAAACTCTTTCGCCAAGTAAGTTGCTTTTTCTTGGGGTCTTCATTCACCTTCCTGAGAATTCATATTTTTTTTCTTAAAAGAAGAGGCCTTCTGCTTCCTAGACATGCCAACGAATGCTTCAGTCTTTCAGTATGTGGCAAGTTTAGGCAGTCCAGCAACTCTCAAATAAGACATGCACTTAGCAGTTGCAGCAGCAAAACTGGTGCTTTTGTGAGCACCACACCAGTGCCCGCATCGCCCACACCACGTGAAAACGGCTTTGCATTTAAGAAAAAAGAAAAAGCACTAATATATGCTAAAGAGCTGCCTGGAAAGGGCTGATGTACCTTGTCAGGAACGGGGCCAGTGCTGGAAACGAGAGAGGCCGTGCATGCCTGTTGCCCCTCTTCTCGCAGGCTCATTTCTTGAGCTCGAGAGGTTTCCTCTTTCTTGTGGGTTGCATGCAGGTAATGGGGCGCAGCGCAGCCATACGCAGCCACGGGGAGAAGGGACAGGAGCAAATTTAACTCCCCACTTTTCTCTACATCTTGATCAGCTTTGGTGGCTCAAGATGTAGAGAAAAGTGGAGTGTAAAAAACCTGCCGACACTCACACTAAGCTGGTAGCCACTCTGCATCGTGCCGCCCAAGTGCAACGGTCATTCATGTGTTCCTATCATCAGTGGTGGCTGGGGACACTGTTTGTATAACACTGAATTGCAGCAGATTTTATTTTACCATATTTACACGCATAACAGGTGCACGCCGAACTCACCTGATATCGATAGTTCTGTACCGTGTTTGCACGGTTGCAATTCCAGGCCCTCTTACGTTAATTGAAGCGAGGAAAAAGAAACAAGACCAAATTTTTTGGAAATTTTAATGCACACCACGTCGCACGCCTCAATTCACGGACACTTGCAACGGCATGCTCAACGCTGTCACGCTAGTGTCGCGCTAGTGTAGCCTATGAAGAAGGTTGTTTCAGCTGTAGTGGGAATGCTTGCGACTTTAGCCACGTAAGTTATCAATGGTCTATGCTGTTTGCAGAAGTAAAATTTTCAGAACTTTTAGCCCGCGTAACAGACGCACCCAGAACTTTGAGCTGGATTTTTGGGAGACAAAGTGCGCGTATTATGCGAGTAAGTACGGTATGTAGACCATCCAAGACAACCTTAATATTTGTATTATTGCGAAATTCGTATCAACTATATTGTAAAATGGCGAGCAAGCACCCCCCTGGTGAAGGATGAGCCAACCAGATTCTGGAGGGGGTTGCTTGCTTGATCCCAGACTGGTCATTGGAACTTATTTCGAATTTCCCGAAAAAAAGGAGGGTGTCTCTAGCTTGGCACTTGGCAGTAATGATATCATCGTGATTCTTGTGTACTCCGAAAATTTGAACTTTCAGGTAACCTTCAACGTGCACTAACATGGCACAGCACACGGGTTTCAACAATTTTGCCTACACCGAAATTAAGAACTGATCACGCACAGTGCTCGGTTTTGGTCGAAAATAATGACCACCAGCTCTAGTCTGTACCTTTTTTGGAAGTTGCGTGCATCGCAGGCAAGTGGCTGCAGTTTGACTGAGGTGTATGTCTCTCTTCTCGGTGCAGATGTCCGGAAGAGGGCTGTGGGAAGGCGTACTACTCGTCCAACACTCTGGCTTCACACCTGCGTGTTCACCAGCATCGGCCTGAGGAGCTGCGCTGCCCGTTTCAAGACTGCGGGCGGGCATTTGGGCGTGCCTGCAAGTTACGACTCCACTTGCGGCAGCACACGGGCGAGCGACCTTACGCATGCCCTGTGAGTGCTGGTCCTTTGCACACTGTATCCGATTGCGAGAGTTTGCAATGGCGTCTTGCCACCGAAGCCGTAGTGCAGAGGTGCGCGTGGGGGCTTCGTACTTCTAGCAAAGGTTATTGCGTGCTGGAAAGTACAGTGTAAGAGTTAAAAGGAAGAGAGTTCTTAGGGCATTCTTTCTGCAGTATACCTTCCTCTAGAACAATTTTTTACCCTAGATGCTGAGCCTCAAACTACTTCCTTTGAGTGTGTTGGGGGGGAGGGGGGGGACATTTACGGCATGGAATACTTTTACAAGCGTAGAATAACTTACTGGAAGAGCAATTCAAGGCTGGTATTTTGAGTAACAGGAAAGATGTTTCCACCTGTATGAGCCATCCGAGTGTATAACGCACACCCCTATTTGAAGTACTGGAAGAAGGGAAAAATGCTTCCATATAAATGCACATTTGACAGGGTAATTCTACATCCAAGCTGATACCAGAGTCCTTTAAGGGAAGATGCGGGTAAAAAAAACACACCAGTCTTCTAAAAAACTTCTGATTTTTTCGTTTTCACCTGTTTTGATAGAATTAGCACCTCTACTGTTTTAAAAAAAAATGTCTATGTTAAGACTCAACTGGAAATTGTTTAAAATTGCGTCTAAGGAGCACAAGGTAGCTGTTAATAAGCTGAAAGTGTGCAGTCTTCGAGCGCCTTGTCGCTGATAATGCCCCGCTACTTGCCATGGTTGATCGCATGCGGCGAAGAGCCGAGCCTCCCTCTTCAAATAGCAATGGTTTCTCATGCTGCTGCAGTGCCAGAAATCATAAAAGAAGCACGCTTTTGCGCGTTTTTTCGAGCGCCGTGACTGGCTTTTAAATCATGTGGTATGGATCGAGGACCACCATTGGTCGCTGTGAGCCTGTAAATGTTGTGAAGCCTACTTGCAGGGTTCTTGTATTGTCGAGCTACGCAGCTGAACAATGCTTTTCTCGTGTGTTTATCTCCATTATGGATGAAGAAAGCTGTATCTTGCGCAGTAGCTACACTGTCTAAGTGAAAGCTGTTGTGGCGGTGTGCTCTTTAGGAATGGGTTAAGAGTGGCTGGTCTGATTTTCAGTGATTCTTGGCTTGCAAAAGCCAATGCATCAATGTCATTCACAGCCCTCAGCCAGAAACTCCGTGATGTGACAATGGATGCCATCTGTGCCAATTATCTGCGGTTCAGGGAGCTCACAGTAAGAGAAGTTAGCAAGGACAACACCGCCGTTATGTACGACGGTACGTGGCACAAACGCGGCCACAAAAGCCACTGTGGCATCGGCAGTGTTGTGTCCCTCGACACTGGACTTAGTTTTGATTTCGAAGTGCTGTTGAACTTCTCCCTAGCTTGCAGTCGGCACAAGGCTCTGCCAGATTGAGCGGAAGAAGTTTTCCAAGTGTTTCATGGCCTTGTCTGTGAGCGGAATGTCTGTGAAGAGTAGGCTCGAAAAAGCTGTGAAGGACAAACTGATGGTGCTTGCCCATATTAGTGGCAGTGGCCACTACAAGAAGGATTGTTCTTTGTTGTGTGCAAATTTCATCCCATTTAATGACATATTTCATAAAGAAAAACTCAACTTTAATTTTAAAACTCGTTTTTTTCAAAACAAATATTTTGCCATTTTTTTTCTATGTGCATCTCCTTTTTTGGGCACTTCTAGTGCTCAGATCTGCATGAAATTTCGCCCAAATTTTTCTAAATTATGACAAATGCAATTATCTAGTTTATATTTCAATATCTTATTATATAATAAAAAACTGTATGTACACCTTTACTAGGGTAGGTGAAGTATAGACTTTTCAAGTCTATTATTTTCCCGCCTATAACATTTTTTGTATGCACTTCCTAATTAATTATTTACATTCTACACTTTATTTGAAGCGTTATGAACTATGAATGGTAAAAAATTATGGAAGTGATGAAAACGGGGGGGGGGGGGGGGGGAGGCTTAAGGTTTTCACTTTGTCTTGCTGCAGAGCCAAAGGTATACAGCTTGAAAAAACTAATTATATATTTGAAATCGGCATACAAAGTTCTATAAAGAGTCGAAGTTTCATTGCTCCAGAGTGAATATTAAAAAAAAAATTTGTCTTCGCGTAGCATCTTCTCTCAATAACATTCTGGTCATGAAACTATGTCTCAGTTTCATATGGGGCATGCACCTGCCACTAGAGTTGCCACTGTGCTTTTGAGAGCATGTGAATGCAGGTATGGGGACGGCTGTGCATGAGGCGGCAGCCTCTAAATATAGCTTTCTAAAGCTGTGCAACGTAGCTGTACTTTCATGCAGCTACTTTTACCACTCAACATGCTTACAACACTCGAGCAGTGTGTCTTTCGCCTCGAATTAAGGATCCTGGTGGGGAAAAAAAAAGCCTCTTGAGAGCGTGGAAGTCGCTGCGATCCTAGTGCATAAAACAAAAATCAAGGTTTAAATGCCACATATTGTGTGTTACTGGGCAAAGTTGTCGTACATCCCTAAACAATGTGCTATGCTAAGGAAACACTGACAAGCAATCTGTGCCCATCTTCGTTCACTTCCTTGTTCGTGTTTCCTGTGCACAGCACCTTGTTTAAATGTTCAGCTACGATATGATGATTAGGCTTGTCATAGTGGGGGATTGCAGAAAATTTTTTGATTGCTCAAAGTCTTTTTATGTGCAGTACTCAGGGGGGTGATTGAAAAGCAGCATTATGTGGTGAACACGCAAAACAAGTTTTTCCACCAGTGGCCAATTTTCTAGCCATCCGTGGAAAGAAAGGTGGCTTATTTTTTTGTGAATTTAGTATTAAAGTAAAACCTCGTTAATTTTAAGTCACTGGGACTGTGAGAAATCTTCTAATTAAGTGGGTTTTCGGAATTAACAGAACGTACAAAAAGTGCTATGCAACGAACTTGAAGTTATTCTAATTATAATCAGGGCTGGTCGTTTGCTGTACTGGCTAGTTTGTGGCTCCGAGGGTTACGTTTTTCAGCAATACAAGGCCACAGTTTTGCCAAGGGGGAAAATTGAGCCTCGCTGCTGCAATTGCAAAAAAAAAAAAAAAAGACATCTTCGCTGGAACACAGTAGTGACACGCCGGCAGTGTGTTACCTGCTTTTTGCTGCACGAGCACGTCATTATGCGACTATTTGCCCATTTTTTCTGGTAAAGTGAAAAATTTCATAATAGTCAGTGTGACAAAGTTACGATTTTTTCGCTGGGCGTTATCATCATTGAACCTTTCAAGCCGAGTTTCCCAAGTAGGAGTAGCAGGCAATATCTCCGCCAGTGCTGCAAGTACGCAAATTGCTGGAGTAACCAGCACTCGGAGGTTCGCATACATTGCGAATTCCACTAGACTGTCTTTTATTAATTTCTCTATATTCCCAGAAAGAATGGGTAAACAATGACGCGCCGACGTTGCAAGAAGCATGCGACATGCTGCTTGCGCGTCAGTGCTGTGTTGCAGTGAAGCATGTCTTGTTTTCCGCAGGTGCACATTTAAGCTCATCACGAGATCATCTTTTTTTTATATAATTTTATTTTTCGTGCTGGAAGTATTGAGGCTGGGGTACTTTAGCTGCCACTCAATATTATCGCTATGGTACATTGCCTAGTGGCTCTTAAGGGCTGTCGTTTCCGCGGTTTTGTGGTGAAATTGGGATTGCTAATAGGCACAGTAAACCCAAAGTTTTTGAATTAACCGGACTGGTGCTGACCGTCACTTCAAATTATCTGCTGAAACTTACATGGCAAACTACGGAACCACTGAAATACTTGAAATTAAGTGGGATTTTGAAATAACCGAGTTCGAAATAATGCAGTTTTACTGTACCTGCTGTGAAAGGTTCTTGCTGGTTGTGTTCCAGCTATTTGTCGGCAAAGGTAAATAAAAGGGGAAGGTTTACTTTGAATGATGGCCATATTTTTAGGGTTGTGAAGTGGAATTTTGAGCCTTTCATTCCCATGATGCATGTTGTGCTTCTATGTGTAGGCGTGTGCCTGGACCTTTGCCAGTGCCAGCAAGCTGACGAGGCACATGCGCAAGCACACTGGCGATCGGCGTTACGTGTGCCCCGAACCCGGCTGCGGCAAGGCATTCATGCGGCCCGAGCACCTGCGCGGTCACTCTGTTGTCCACTCGGGTGGCCGCCCCTTTGCCTGTACGCACCCAGGTGAGTAGCAGCAGTGCAAAATGGCCATTGCCAGGCGGCTCAGATGCTTAAGTTATACGAATTAGAGAAAATATATAAGCACTTATTTAAGGGCAGAGGCGGGTCTTTTATGGCAAAAAATTGCAAAAAAGTGTATTATTGAGAAAATGCAGTATTGCAAAGTTTAAACATTTATTAATCTCTTAGCAAAATTTGAAAGCTAAATTCAATTGAGAATTATTAAAAAAAACACATTTTACATGTCTAGGTGGAGCCGAAATGACCGAAAAATTGACAAATATGTTCAAAGTTCATGCGCTCGTAAGTGCAGAACGTGGTGACCGGGTGCCGCCATCTTTGCATTGTTTTGAAGCTGCTTTCTTTGCAGCGCAGTCCAGCGAGAGCGACGCTACCACTCCTTTTGCAAAGGTTGCTTGCGCACATGTGATTCGTCAAAGCTCGCGCTCACCTCGCTTTCTATTGGCTCGCCCCATTTGTTTTGCTCCGCCGCCCCCCCCCCCCTCGATCTCGCATTGTGATCGCTCGCTCGGCTTGGGCTTTCAGCTTGTCAAGATTTATCTCAGGAGCGCTCTTGCAAAAGGCAAAACTGTATATTTCAATGGGGCCAAATGCTCATTAATTCGGAAGGATTTAGCCGTGCACCAGTCATCTCGGACAACTCCGCGCGACTTGGAGGCTCAAGCACTGCTTGACGTAACGGACGGTGGTACCAGAGTTTTGGAGAGACCGAAACTGAACGAACTGCAGCAGACTATGATCATGATGATAGTGAATGGGGGAAAAGTGGCGAGGTGGCACTAGTCACTACCCGGCGGAAGCGCTTGGGCCATCGGCGCATCCAGTGTCTATTAACAGCTGTTCGCTACGCCTACTGGTTTATTATTATTTAAGACGAACTGCAGTCCGAAGACCAAGCAGGTGGGCAGGGATTAATTACATAGAAAGCATCAATCAGCATGGTAAATTGGTACACAAAAAATAGCAGTACAAAAAAAAAGATAGCAGTACAAAAAATAGCAGTACAAAAAGAGATAGCAGTACAAAAAGAGATAGCAGTACACAAAGAAACATAGCGGCACAGTGAATGTTTAAAATATTGCAGAAAGTACACGCTTTTCAAAATCCGACACATCACGCGCCGAAAACATATCAACAGGCAATCTATTCCACTGCTCGATTGTGCGGGGAAAGAAGGAGTGCTTAAAAAGATTAGTGCGTGCAAAAATTGGAGTTAGATTGTGCTCATGGGTGCTTCGAGTTGAACGAGATAAGCGGGGCTGAATATAGCACTTCACGACTTGGTTCCTTGTGTTGTGACTTCGCGTGTTGCAGCTGTGTATGTGCGTGTTGACGCCACCGTTGCGCTTTATACCGATGCCGACTGTCACAGGAGTTAAGTGGCCACAGCAGCCAGCAAATAATCTTGAAAGAAAGGTCATGATATTGAAAGACGTGAACGCAGGTGTTTCTCGACAAGAGATCATGAAGAAGTACGATTTGAAGAGAAGCACCTTAAGCAAAAATTTTCGAGGCGTTTGACAGCGCAAATTTGCTGGAAAACAAAAATAACTAAGGACGACAGCACACCCGAAGCTGGAAAGCTGGAAGACGCACTGCAGCGGTGGATAATAGACATGCGGAACAGCCAGCTTACCTTGAGTGGACCGTTGATCTGTCAGCAAGCTGAAAGGTACGCAATGAGATTGAACATCAAATCTTTCAGTGCATCTGAAGGCTGGTTTGCCCGCTGTAGAGAAAGGCACGGGTTGGTCTTTCGAAACGTGTGCGAGGAAAAAGCAGCGGTGGATGAACGGCGTATTGCTGACTGGAAGACAACTGAGCTTCCACAATACTTAGCTCGTTATGAACTTGCCGACGTCTTCAATGCTGATAAAACGGCTTTTTTTTTTTTTTTAAAGCCCCGCTGGAAAAAATGATCACGTTTAAGGGTGACCCGTGCGTTGGAGGGAAGAGGAGCAAAAAGAGGGTCACTGTGCTTCTAGCTTCATATATGTCGGGCACCAAGTGCCTACTTCTGCTAGTCATCGGGAAAGCACGTAACCCAAGGTGTTTCAAGAACATTCACAATTTTCCTGTGCAATATCGCACCAATAAAAAGGCCTGGATGATCTCTGATATTTTGCAAACTTGGCTGCAGCCAGCTTGATGGCCACTTCTCTGCTACTTCTAGTTGACAACTGCAGCGCTCGTACCAGAGTAACAGAGCTGGAGTGCATCGAACTTGTATTTCTACCCGCAAACGCAACAGCTGCTCTGCAACTGCTGGATCAAGGGATAATTCAGCACGTTAAAATCAGGTACAGAAAGCATGTGCCGGAACGAATCCTTCTCTGCAAGGAAGCCGGGCAAGAAAATGACGCAACTCTCCTGACCGCAGTTCGGATTTTGGCTCATGTCTGGAGCGAAACGCTGCCCGCGTTCATTGCAAATTCTTTCCAGCACAGTGGCTTTGTGCACCCTGACGTCTCGGATATTCCTCCAGAGGACACTTGCGCCCACTGGAAATATAGACGACGAGGTGAATGGCACGCATTTTGACTCTCTACTTTCAAGTGGCGTCCAGATTTTAGACTGCGTCGTTATAGACTATCATGTTGCCGTTGCTGGTCCTCTGACTGACGTTGATGACGGTCAAGATGAGCCGCCACCGACGTTGCTGCGCCGTCCAGGAGGCCGCTGGTCTTTGGTTTGTCTTGTGATATTTGACCTCTTGGACATGTGGCCTCTTTCCAGTGTGCCTTTGCTGCCTTTTTTTATAACCTCCTTTTTTTTTTATCTACAAAGAACAAGTATGGGTTTCAAACCAATTTCTGTATGAAGTAGTGGTGTCATAGGCATTACAGAAAAGATTGTAAGTGAATAAGGCCATAGACTGAAATTATTACACATTTTTCTTGTGTTCAAGCTGTCATAAGCATCATTAAGTACTTCTAATTATAATTAATCAATGAACAGTTTTTATATTGAGAGAAGTTTATTGCATCTGATAATGGCTCACACCATGACAGTATGTGCCTTCTTTCCAAATAACGAACAGTCACGGACAGGAAACTGATGGCACAGGAATTTTTTAGCAGTTTATTTAGTAACACTAGACGGGCAGTTGAAAATCTGTACCCCTGCTTCATGCACATGTTCTCTTGCCACTCTAGCTGTGAAATGCATCATCATACAGTCGGTCGCAGAAAGGCTGATCCGTGAGGCTTTCATTGTTTCAGACTATTCATAGACACTCATGACCATACCGAGCACGACTCTAAGCACGTTTTAATTGCACCACTAGAGCTTGTTGACATTACTCAATATGACCGTGAGGTGCGCAACCACAGGGACTGTGCAGTGGCTGCGCAGCGGGTGCGTGATGCACTTCTTGGCGGCGTTTGGTAGTGCGTGAAATGCTTAGCTATGATAACAAAAAAGCGGCACGCTCTACATACGCTTGTCATTGCGTTTTCGAGTGCCAACACGCGAAACTAACTGTTATGTGCTGTTCCGAGCAATCCCTGGCAGTGGGGTCTGACGACTTTCACTGTAGGGTCCACTGCCGATGCCATACCTGCCAAGTCTCCCGCATTGTCCTGGAGACTCCCGGATTTCGACCATTTCTTGTGTTTGTACGGTTGCCATAAAAATCTCCCGGAAATAGAAATTTGTGTGCGAGATCTGGCCGTATTGTCAAAAATGCAGGTCAGTCCGTTCCGGGCTTTTTGCGAGCCCACCGCATTTTACTATAAACGAATTTGAAAGGCGTTTATCTAAATGTACAGCAAGTCTCAGTGAAGCGACACCTCGGCAGATACGAATTAGGGAAATTTTCCAGCCAAATTCATGTGTCCACCGGCCGAAAATTAGAATATTCCGAACACTTTACCTGATCGCGGCGTGTGATATGAACTTTAGTAACCGTCGAACAAAGGCCGATCAAGAGCGGCGTGCTCGAAGCTTCGAAGTACGCGTGTGACCAACTCAAGCACTGTTTTCTAAAGTGCGTGTGGTTGTCGTTGCCACAACCACTGTGGACGAATGTGGTCGTTCGACACGATCATGTATGGCGACGACATTACTGACACAACTCTGAAAGTGTGCTCGCGACCAACGCCCGACCAGTCAAAGCAATGCTGCTTTTTGCAAACTCTGTAGACAAAACCGCGGCAGTTGCAATCATAGATAGCATAAAATGACTTAGTTTTGAAGGCACGTGAATTGAAAACAAAACTACCATTTGCCGCAACTGCTGTGCACAAAACTGCAGTCGCGGCGATGTGATAGCGGTCTATCAGCTTTGAGAGCACAGGGATGACACAGTGGTAGATTGAAGGCCCTAAAGACGTAAAAAAAGGCTAGAAGCGTTTCCTGTCCAAAAAATCCAGGAGCGAGCGAAGGCAAAGCTTTGACCTGTGTTTTCGCGGCAGCCAGATGCGCTGTCTCGTCCAATCATGTGTGAAGACATATGCGAGTTGTTTTGAAGGAAATCGATTTCTTTGCTAATTGTTTTGATGGCACAAAATTTTGGGAGCATTTGTGCTGTCCTTTTGAGACTCTTGCCTTAGTGGGAAACCCTACCCTCGTGTGTTCAGCCACTCCAAGCCAATATGAGGCTGCAACACTGATGTTTGTGCTTGCGTTTGGGACCCCCACCTCTAGTTTTTTTTTGCGATGTTCTTTTTTTGTTTTTTTTCTTTTGGTGGCAAAAACAGGAGAAAATAATTCAGCGTGCTGATTTGAGTTAAGGCGGCAAAACATGATTGTGCTTGTCGCTAAAGACAAATTCATCACAGCTACAGATAAAAAAAAAAAAAAAGTGGTGACCTCCCACCCCTTTTCCCGCTCGGAGTTTTTACGAATTTCTCGGTTGCCAGGTTGGCAGGTATGCGATGCGTAAAATGCCAATCCGAGGAGCCAGTGAGCGATGTGCTTCTCTGCTTGCGAAGAAGCACGTTGTCACGAGGGTGTTAGCATGTTGTTATTGTCCGCAAAGTTTGAGGTTTATCTCGCCGTCAAAGGAGTTAGGCTTAAAGACGTCTCTGATTGTTTGAGCGCTGTCTACGAGTGCGGCACACCATAGTAATCTGATCGAGCATCCGCTTACCGCTATTGACTGATGCGTAATTATATGCTAAGTGAACATCGAGCTGTTAACGCGTCATGAAGTAGCGATTTTCGACAGCTGTGTCTTCGTGATGCACAAGCAGCAGACGACGACTTCCCAGAGTGTGCATCGGGCCCATGGTGAGGTTAGCTGGGGAAACATCGTGCACATGGCCTATGAGAGGCCTCGAAACATCTCTCAAATATCAGCTTTTTGCATGCTTTTTTAAGAATGGAGGAGCCAGCTGAAGTAGAAAGTTTGAACACAGAGAAATGCTCTTTCCGATGAGGCCAGGAAGCCGGCACCCGGCTGCGTCATTGCGAAGCTGTAATTTTTTTTAAATCTCTGTTCTTTCACGATTTCCAGAATAACTTTCTCTATCCGGAAAAGTGAAACAAATTTTCGAAGCACTTCTTGAAATTGTAGATACGTTGGAATCAGATAGATAAAGGGTTATAGAAACTGAAAACTTTACTTTAAAAAAATTGTTTTTTTGCCATTTTTCGCTATACGAAAGTTGCGTCCCCCCTTAAAGCTGAACTTGCTATTTTCTCACTACATAATTTGATGGCCATTCTGTGTTCTCCAGTCTGATTGCAAACATTTTTACCAAGTTGTGAAATGATACGATAGGCCATCAGTAAATGGAAACCTCTTAAATGGAACTGCTGCCTACATGGAACATCCGTCTCCAATATCATTGTATTTGTGCTTGGATTCTGCACCCCTGTTCATCTGTGAATAAGTGGGATTGTTCCTTAGTTTTAAACGGATGTGTTTCTTTATTTGGTCACAATGTCTGGCATATTTGCAGGGTGTTCATCGCGTTTTGCGGCCAAGTCCAGCCTCTACGTTCACCTCAAGAAGCACACCCAGGCAGGAGCCAGTGCTGTCGAGTCACCGGAGCAGCAGCAGCAGTTGGTGTACGGATGCCCTGTGGGGAACTGCTCCCGCCGTTTCCCCTCCCGCACTGCCCTGAGGCAGCACATCGAGCACTCCCATTCGCTGCTCGTCATTGGTGAGCAACATTGCTTCATTAGGGCTGGCTGTGCAAACCTCATTGGAAACACAGCATAACCAAACTGTGGTACATAAGCATGGACAAATATTTAAGCATTTGGAATACAATCGACGACCGATATTTCGGACGCCCAGATTTTTGGACATGCTTAATAATTTGGACTTCTATTCAGCACCAAGAAATAACCTATACAATATATTTCGCAGCTCAAAATATTGGGCACTTAAAAATGAGCTGTTCGACATTTCAGACTTTCCAAAATTTAGTCAAGCTGACTACCACCATTTTTTCATGGCGTTGTTTTGTTTATTTACCTTGTGGTGACACGTATACCGAAGGAGTACGGCCACCAGCGTGGGTTTGGTCTTGGCGAGCCACAGGGCATGCGTTAACCGACGCCCTGGCGTGAACACGATACTGCTCAAGGTCGCAACACTTTATTGTCTGTAACAACACCAAAACGCAGTACAGCCCGTTGCAAAGGCACGGCAGGAAAGCAAATGGGCTTATCCACGCCACGGGCGAAAAAGTACTACACAGGGTGCCATGAGCACGTCTCCGTGGTAAAGGTGATTCACGGAGACACCAGGACCAAGGCCCGATTGCTCGAGCGAGGGAAAAGGCGCTCGCGTTTGCTTCGGAGGGAGACGGGTCGGCGTAGCTTGGCCACGCACTAAAACACCATACCGGCCTTCAGCCGAGCGTACGCAAAGGGGCAACAAAAGGTGAGCGTTCGCCTTGGGCGCTAGGCGCCGTCAGCGAAGTTCGACGAGCCTCGAACCACAGGATTCAACGGACGGAAAAAGGAATACGGGCTCACCGTAAGCTGTCCCGGAGAATCTCTGACTCACTCCCGACGCACGCGCAAAACCTCTCGGGAGACTCCGCGCGCGGCGCCACAGTCAACATCCGCTACCGGGTGAGAGGGGTTAAACGTCATTCCTCGCTCTTTCAGCGCAGCAAACAGCGAAGGAGGGGCGTCATGTCGGGACATGAGAATGGCAGAAAAAGCGGCAAAGCCCGTGCAAAGGCAGCGGGCTAGCCTCAATTCCCACGTTTTTCTCCAATAGCCTCAAACCAGCGCTGGCCTTGCGCACGGCTGATAGCTCTGCTTGCCTCCTATGAAGTGGCTACCTCGAACTGCTGAATCGACGCTATTTTCACATCGGCGTCGCTGCTGAACAATTTTTCTTCCTTCTCTGCTGTGACCGTTGAACGGATCGGACCGCCTCGACGGACTCTTCGCCTGTGCGTGTGCCGTTTGCTCCATGTGTGTCACCTGGCTAAATGCGCTGATTCATAATAGATAAGGGATCGTCAATGTGTGTGGGCCGTTTGTTTCACGTGTGTCACCTGTCTAAATGCGCTGATTCATAGTAGATAAGGGATCACCAATCTTATCGTCGGCCTCGAGAGCTTCGATGAAACAGGAAAAGAAAGTGTGTCACGATGTAGATGGCAAAAAAAGTTGCCATCGTCGAGCTCATTGAAAGTGACTGATAGGGGCAGATGTTGCGAAAGAGTTTCATATTTCCAAACGGACCCTTTCGCACTACATGAAAACCAAGCAAAATATTTGAAAGCAACGGAAAAGTGTACTGGGCTACTCAAAGCTTGAGGAAGCCCTTCTCGTATGGCTGAGTCAGCAGTGGCCAGCAAGGTTCTCGTCTCCGGGTGCCTCCTCAAGCAAAAAGCTGAGACGATGGTGCTTCAAATGAACATTGAAGGAGGTCTGTGATTGTTGACTAAAAAGCTTTATGAAGCATTCTAACCTCAGTTTTTAAAAAAACTGTGCAGCGAAAATGCAGCTGTCGACCTTAGCGTTGTTGCGAACTACTGCTCTGAAAAGCCGCAGTCCCTTTTACAGGAGTACTCACCAGACAACACGGTCAACTGTGATGAGACAGGACTTTTTTTTTTTGTTGTTCAAGCTGATGCCAGTAAAAACTCTTGCCTTTGCTGGGGACTCTTGTCATGTTGGCAAACACAATAAGGAGTGAGTACAGTACTAATCGGTAGCAATATGTCAGGCATAAACTGCTGATGCTCCTCATCGGCAAGTCGAAAGCGCCAAGATGCTTCAAAGGTGTAAACTCCCTGCCTGTTTTGTACGAGGCCAACGGAAAGCCCTGGCTAACTCAGCAGATTTTCAAAAGCTATGTGAGAAGACTAGATCGCAAATTTGATCTAGAAGGCCACAAGATTTTGTTTTTTGTGAACGACTGCACTGCACACGGGCACGTTAATAACTTGAAGACTGTGCGCGTCGAGTTCGTGCCACTGAACACAGAGTGTCCTACCACCGATGGACCAGGGTGTCACATATGCTTTCAAGCTAAACTAATGGTCACGCTTGCTTTCACATGTGGTGGTGTGCCTGGACAGTGGAAAAGGGTACTTGGTCTATTTGGTTGGAGCACTTAGCATACTTGCCGGTGCATGAAAGTCGATGGCATCGACAGTGCTGCGCAAGTAATTCCGCCACGCAGGATTTGCGTGGCGAGTCGGCCGCATTAGATGAGTACAGCATCATCGACCAGGTATCCGGAAGCAAGGAGCTCATAGACGACATTCGCACTGCGGACGTCGAGATTCACCCAGATGTCTTGTTTTCAAAGCTTGTGTGTGTGTGTGGACAGGGCCTCATGGATAAGGAAATCATTTGCCAAGTGCTTGCAGAGTCAGAGAGCGATGATGATAACAATATCTTATCTGCAAAAGCTCAGTCGACTCAAGCTGAGCTGATGCAAGCGATCCCAACCCTTTCATAATTACAGCGACACGACAACTCTAGCTGAAATGCGGGCGAACGTGCTTGCGCAGAAGCAAAGCATGGTTCAGAAGATGATGACTCACTTTTTCCGCTCACTATCTTAATAGTAAGCAGTACATTGAGCATTTAGGGGACACATTTGCCTTTTTGGACTGCCCGATTTTTCTGACATTTTCGCGATTCCTTGAGGGTCCGAAAAATCGGTCATCGACTGCATTTCAGTGACAGTTACAGCACTTGAATTTGGTTCAATACAAATTTAAATTATTAGAAACTTCAAAGTATTCAGTGTTACTGCATAGACGTATACTATATTCACATAATTTGCACCCTCGCATAACTGGTGCTCCCCTAATATTTAGCCAGCTTTATTGAATAAAAAATATTTACTCGCTTGCAGTGGAACCTCGATTACACGACTTTTGGGCGACCACGCAGAATCGTTTTCTGATTCAGGCGTCATGTAATCGGAAAACTTATATTGTAGGTAGTGACACTCAGCCTTGCCCTAAAAAACAGGTACAAGTTGCATGAATAAGCCCACGGCACGACTTTGTGCCTCTGCAAGAAAGGTAGATGAAAGTTTTCTTGCCAGGGTGGCAGCTAATGGCAGCATTACAGTAAAATCTCATTAATTCGAAACGAAAGTGAAGAACAACAATAGTACACTGCAAGTATGGTATAACAATTTATTTCTTGAAAAAATCCGTTATCGCTGTCTGCCTTCTTTCCTTGAAGGCGACAGCCAGCACTTTTTGCTCTAACAAGCGAATTTGGCGGAAGGCCTCTTCTCCGTCGTCTTCAATATTTAAGAAAAGACGAGTGGCATTCAATCCGGCCATGACTTCCGCGGCAGAGGGCCACACTGTTGCTTCGTCCTCCTCCTCATCATCGTCACAGGCAGCGACAGGTTCTGCACTTCTCACCTGACATATTATGTCGCCATCCGTGAGGGCACCACACACCACTGCACTTGAGTCCACATCGGCGTAGTCCGCAAAGCAGACGTCTTCCAAAACGTCCGCCATGGGGGTGCTGAAAAAGCGTGGGGGTGGTGACGCCGTGTTCGAGCACTGGTGGCTCGTCAGCTTGCAGAGCTTCGGTGCTGAAGCTACAGTGGTGAAAGCAATGTGCTATCCTAAGCGCTGTCACTTGCTCCCAAGCACGCACAAGCACGTGTAGTGCACTTAGAAGCATCACTTGGTAGTTATTGCACAAAATAATTCCATCGAACATATGACGCCGATAAAATGATTTTGAATTTCTAATTCTATCCTGGTCCATGAGCTGCAGTGCCGCTGTCGTGTTTGCTGAAAGGAAGGCCAGCTCAATGGCTTTCATCTCAACGTTGACTTTATGAGCCGAACAGTTGTCCACAAGAAGCAGGACTTCGTGGCCACAGCGTTCGAACTTCTTGTCAAGCTTCCCCAGCCACTGCACGAACAATAGACCTCTCCTTGTTTGTAAACAGTGTGACGTTACTGCAGGCACTCGCCCCCTACACCCTCTCTCGGAGCAGGTGCTGGTTGGCAAGAAAGTTCCTCCGGCAACATCGTTATGCATAGCAGAGCTGCGTGTCTGCTTTTTTTGACAGAAATTTCTACATTGCTATGTTCTAAAGTCACAGCTTTTGAAAAAAGGGGGTCGCGGAAGGGTCACTGCTCATAGTGTGGGAACTTGCTCATCGTAGTTGGAGAGAGAAACTTCGTTTTAGAGTACTGAGAAATGCGACTAACACACAGTGGGCGTCACCCACGTAGATCGCAGCCATAAAAAAATCTGATCTTTTTCGAAAGCGAACGTTTTAAATGTACACGATTACTGGCACTTTGAGAAATATTTGCATGGCACGGATGTAAATTTACTCAATTTTCATCGGGGCATGTGCAATCCAGTTTTAAATGAAGTACAACATTGGCGGCAGCATGGTTTTGAGCTGCTGTGCGCAGTCACGGATAAGATTCTCACTCATTGCCTAAAAGTCTCATCGAAGACGAATGAAAAAAAAAAAAAAAAAAAACACACACTTCTTGCCGTGGGTTAGGCTGAGGTTAACATATCCTCGTAAAAATCAAAGTGAAGTTCTGCCGCTGCGTTTGTCAATAACCCAGTGAAAATCCATGTGATGTAAAACTCGACATCTTAATAATACATAATATTATCTGGCACAGTTACCTTGCTGCATTTGAAACTTATAACGTGTTTTCGTACCTATTGCTCCTTT